TGCGTGTGCGTGTGCGTGTGTGTGTGTGTGAGAGACTGAGAGAGAGAGAGAGAGAGAGAGAGAGAGAGAGAGCGCACCAGACAGACAGACAGACAGAGACAGAGAGCGATAGCAGGGTGGGAGGGTGAGAGAGAGAGGAGATCACGTGTAATGAAAATTGTACAAAACAATGACCGGACCATGAATCTGGGCAGAATTTTCATGCTCCCAGTGTCCCTCCCCGATCACAGCCCATGCCCTCACCCCTCACCATATCCCTGACTTTATGGTAGCCTTGACCTTGTCTTTATAATGTACCCCCTGTGTCTGCAGCCCTGTACAACAGGGATCCAGTTTGTCTGTTCTCTTTTCACTTGCAGTCACGCCACTGTGTTTTTTGTGCCTTGCTCTTTGTGTCTTGCTTCTTTCACCATATTGTTTTTCTCCATCCACGGGGTTACATGTCATTATAGTTTGTTCATTTTCATTATCACGTGGTAGTCTATTGTTTGATTATATTGTAGTTTATTTATTCATCTTCTGTGATTGGATATTTGAATTATTGGTAATTGTTGCCTATTATGAGCATTGCTTTCTTTAATGTTCTTAGACACAGGTGCCACATGTAACTACTAAGGAAATCTTAACATTTATTATTAAGCTTTTGTGAGAGACAACCTGTCTAGTTGCACAAGGAAAAAGTAAAGAATGACTCTCTTCTCCGCTCCTCTCCAACTTCCTTAACAACACCTCGTGGAGAAAGAAACTCCTTTCCAGTACAGTGTGGTTCGCCTCAGCCTAGATTCCTGTCCCAAGACTAGCAATAGAAACAGGAGAGTACTTGCCAGTCCCAGGCGCCGTACCAGAACCAGGGATGCAGACTGGGCCTGGCGGGGGTCTGCTTGTTTAACAAGTATCCTGGTCATACTCAGGACCAGGAGACCCTCAGTTCGCCCTCATGAATTTGTAAGTCTTGCCTCCCTGGTTGTGAAGAGATTTGAAGAAAATCTTCCCATGATTGAAATCTTGGAAAATTTTGCCTTAGAAAAGTTAAGGGAGTTGAATTTATTTAATCGGTAAATTTTTTTTTTTTAAATTCTGAAGGATGATTAATTATTTGCAAAACCACAAAAGCATTTTAATAAACAAAAAGACAAACATTTGCTGTGTCAGGAGAGATTTAGGTTAATGAAGAGATGAACCTCCAGCTAAAGTCAGCCAAAAGCGTTGAGCATTTGCCTGGCACCACAGGGGTAAGAAATAAAGGCTGTTGTCAATGCCTGCAGGGAACTGAAGACCCAGAGACAAAAAAGGAGCACACACTGAGCTTTCCAACAAAAGCCAGGACGCGATATTTCATGAAGTCTAGACTGTGGGCTTCAGTCGGGATGAGTAGGCGGCCCTCGGGGACAGGATGAAGGAGAGAAGCAGAGAGAGGTCATCAGGAAAGGCTGGAGAGAGCCTGCCCGGCTTGAATGAGCTTTCCAAGTTAGCCTGTTCACGGATGACAAGCGCGTTCTAAAGCAGTGGCATCCGAAATCTTTTATTGTGATTCCCCATAAGAGATATATTTTCTATCATCACCCGCTGTGCCCTTACACAATAGACAAAAGTTTTCTGAAACATTTAACTTTATTCACTATGATACATCTGATGTGTTCTGTTGTTGTAGAAATGAATTCTAGCCTTTTACCCAGGCAGAGGAAGAACAAGCGGTACTTCAGGAATGGTGAGGTCAGGAGAAGCTTTGTCACTCATGCATGAGGTCCCAGACCTGGGGAGCCCCATAAGGTCTGAGCACCCATTTAAAGACCAAGGGTTCCTTTTATACACAACTGTGTCCATATCTGTTACATGGATAACATCGTTTTTCAGCAGGCACAACCATTGCTGCAAAGTCCCCAGACAAGGGGGGCAAGACATGGGGGGAAAGATGCAGGCATTCAGGGATGGCCTTGGAGAGAGAGACCAGCTTGGCCAGCTGCCCGACCTTGTAGATAAGAGTGCTGAGGCCCTGGCCATGAATCTCGAAAGGGAAGGAGCTGTAAGTCAGCAAACTTGTTGATTATGCCTGTGTTGGAGTGTTCATTGCACCTGGGCTGGAAGTTCTGCTGGAATCTTTATTATATTCATTTGCTCAATGATATATTTTCGCTTCACTTTTTTTTTTATTTCATTTAAAAAAAATGGTGGCTTAACCCAACAATAGGTTGAAAACACAGAGTTTAAGTCTGATGGATGGAGGCCCATCTGGCGGAGGGCATTTTCCTTGGGCAGTGGTGAGGAGAGGATATTGTTATTGTGTTGGTAGTCTCAGAAGCCTCCCCCAGTTCTGGATTCTGGATGAGTTACTTTGGGATGTCATGGCAAAAATTCAGACTTCACCTGTTCTATGATCCACTTATGAAAAACTCTTCTTACACCAAAATGTGTGGGATTTTTCTTTACACCAACAGCTAATTCTTCAGCTCTTCCTACACCAATTGGGTGTCCAGCAATTCAATTGAATCCTGATTATGAATGAGCCAGAGTTAGCATCAGACCCCACAGGTAATAGGCTCAGCCCCACAAAGCTGATTCACTTCAGATGTCAATTGCAAGTCCTGGGCCTCCCATCCTTCTGAAAAACCAGCTGTGAAGTTTGGAGGATCCCAAACCACTCAGGTTCAATAATTTGCTAGAATGACTCAAAAAAAAAACCTCAGGAAGGCACTTTACTTATTACCACTACCAGTTTATTATAAGGGCTACATTCAGAACAGTGAAAAATGCTTCGGACAAGGTATAGGGGGGAGGCAGTATTCCCAGAACCTCGTATTTACTAAACCTGGACACTCTCTCAGCCCAGTAGGTAAGTTGGGCAACTTTTTTGAGTTTCCAGAAACTAGGCAGGATTGATTAGATCTTTGGCACTTGACTTAATCTCCAGCCTCTATCTCCTCCCAGGAGTTGGGGGTAGGGCTGAGAGTTCCGACCCTCTAATCGCTGCTTGGTTCCTCTGGCAACCAGCCCCCGTCCTGAAGCCATCTAGGGGCTTCCTGCCACCAGGCACCTCATTAACATAAACTCCACAGTGGTTGAAAGGAACTTCTTAGAAATAACAAAGCACTTGGGAAATCCCGGGAGTTTTGGGAGCTTTTCTGCTGAGAACCAAGGACAAAGGCCAAATGTACAATTTTTATTACAGTATAATATCACAGCTCAGTTATCTAAGCAGCCCTATCTTTGGGCAGGAGATGTACAAGATGACTTTCTAGGATTCATTTTGATGCTTCATTTCAATTTAGTACCAATCCGCAGAGGACTGCAAGTTGGGGAGAGAAATTTGCCTCTTGCACCCTAAGAGCTATGACATGAGAAGTGTTTATTAGACACGCGTTTGTCTCCTTTTGTGATTGGCTGTGAAATTTTGGGTATAGAATGTGGCACTGGATACAATAAATAGGAAACAATATAGTAAATGTCTCCTTGGGCAGTTTTAGAATTAACATATTTATTAAATATTTTTGTGTGTTTAGGATAAACAAATAAATGTTTTCAGTATTTTTGTGTAGATAGTCATTATCTCTGCCTCAACTGCACTAAGAGAAAAGAGACCTCTGGCTTTTGCATCTAAAAGAGACTCTAGACCAAAGAATTTTAGAATTTAAAGGTCCTGCCATAGAACTTGTCCTCCAAAGAGTAGGGGAGGGAGATATCTTTCTCACTGTGTTGTATAAAATTGAACTCCCTAAAAGTCCACATGTAACTAATTTTAGGGAGCCCCTCCAATCAGATTTTTCTACCCCAGAGTTGAGTGCCTTGGAGACACTGCAAAGGGAAATCCTTTCACGTGGCCTCTCTTTGCTAAAGTGCTTTCAGTCCTGTCCTCTGAGATTTAATATCCTTTTGATCTTCCCAATCCAGTTTTAATTTGGTCCCTTGAAGTTCTGGAAGGATTTTAAAAGACAACACTAATATTGTAGTGTTGGGATAATGTTAAGTTGGAATAGTTGGTCCTAAATGTACTTCTGTAAACTTTTTTGTTTTGCTTTGGCTTGTAAAAATGCAGTATAGAGTAAATAAAATACAGTCTGTTATTTTGGTATTTGCTGCATTTTGTTGTTAAGTAAACTTTCTAGTCTACTAACAAGTGTGTCAGGGACAGTATTTTTATTATGTTCTCCTTCACTAGGCAGCCTGATTTGTAATTTAAGATAAAACCTGATGTCTGTGAGTAGGTTGATGGTCATTGCAGAAGCATGGATGACCTTGGCCTGGACACATTTTCACTTTGGAGGAAACATTTAGAGGACTGTGGTGTAGAGCTGCACTGTTCTCTAGGATAGCTACTAGATACTGGCACTTAAAGTCTAGAATTAAAGTTAAAAGTCCCATTGCTCAGTTGCACTAGCCACATTTCTGTGTTCAAAAGTCACATGGGGCTAATGCAATATTGACAGTTTGGGCTAGAAAACTCTTTGTTGGGAGAGGAGACTGTCCTGTGCATTGGAGGATCTTTAGCAGGATCTCTGCCTTTCACAGTATTTGGGTCAAAATCAGGGCCTAGGAACAGGCCAGAGAGTGGCAATAAAAGTAGACCAAGAATTGTGTGTCTATAAGCCCTCAGGTAACTGTTGAACTGTTGGTCATTTTTGATTCTGTAAAATAGTAGGTCCAGTGAGCTGTGGATCAGGTCAAAGGCCAGTGTTCTGAGGAGCCAGCTGTTGAGTTTCACTAGAAATAAGCTAATGTGTAAACTGACCTCAAGGTCTTTTTAAGTTGCTTCATTTCAAGTCAGTTGAAAGAACTAATTCTGTTTCAGAGTTTGCTGACAAGCCTCTATTCCACTGAACTGTTGATGTTTCCTTTTGGGAAACCACCCTTCTTGGTTGTTCCAGTTGGGAAGGGGAAGGTATTTTTAACATTGTCCATTTGGGGGCAGGTGTCGCTTTCCAGGTGTGGGCCGAGAGGGCTGTCAGTCAACGTGGCCATGACCGTGGGGTTGCTCATGAGCTCTGTGTCTCCCCCTTGCTCCACAGACCAACGAGTGGAACAAGAACGATGACCGGCTGCTGCAGGCTGTGGAGAATGGCGATGCAGACAAGGTTGCCTCACTGCTGGGCAAGAAGGGGGCCAGTGCCACCAAACACGACAGCGAGGGCAAGACTGCGTAAGCTAAAAAGTTTTGTTCTAAATCTGCAGTGTTCTCTGCAATCCTGTGTATCCATGGGGAATTCCACAAGAGCCTTTCAAGGGAAAGTCCTTGAAAGGGACTTTGTGAGATTATTGTCCACCTACCCCCATGTTAAAATATCTAAGAGGACATTTTACTTTATTTTTTGGGAGACTCTAACACTTTATTTAATAACACACTGGCTTCATTGGTAATTTTTTTTTTTACCATCCAAACCATGTACTTATTTATTTATGTGTGTATTTGTATTGACATAACGTTGGTATATGATACTGTGTATTATTCAGAGGTACAGGGTCACATCTCTTCAGAGATATATTCTAATCTAATAATAGTTCCTTTCTCTTCCTAGTTTCAAATTACACATGGGTTTTAACCTAGAGGTCTCAGCAGAGAAGAAATAGAACCAGGATTATAACCAATTATTAGGTGGCAAATGAATTCTATCCTAGATTAGAAACAGCATAAAAAAGAACGTAATTTTTCCCATAACTCTCAAACCTTGCTCTTTGAAAACCTCTTTCTTAATACAGAAATTCCATGGGTACTATGAATTTAAGATTTGCCATATGTGATTTTCTTGCCCAAAACTTCATTGTTTTATAACTAAAGCTAGATATTCAATTAAGCATTTGTGTGTGTGTATGTATTATGCCCATCCTTTCCCTGGTTGTGTTTTAGAATCATCATTGACTTTGGGGCCTGTTCTGATCCAGACCGTATCACTTCTGTCATCTGTAAACCTCAGTTTCTTCATTGCAAAATGGAGATGACAGTATTTAATTGCCAGGGTAATTCTGTGTCTATAGAACAATATGGTAATGCTGGTTGGATGCCCCAGCAGCAGACTTTGAAACTAAGTCCTAGGTACAAGTAAAATTTCTATAACTGGTGATCTAGAATCCAGCACTGAAAAGGAACCAAGCCCATATAGGCATGATATTGACAGGTGACTCCCATGGGCATCTGGGACTCATTCCCACTGAGAACCTCCAGGAACCTGTTCAGACTTAGAGCAGGGGGTGGCTCTTTGTAAATAAAGTTTTACTGGAACATAGCCCCAGCCATTCATTTAGCATTGTCCATGGCTGCTTTTGCGCTGCAAAAACAGACTTGAGTTATTAAGACAGACTGTATTGTCCACAAGACCTAACATATTAACTATCTGACCCTTTATACAATTTGTTTGCTTACCAACCATGTAGGACGCAGAGTTATCCCACCCAGGGAGTAAGGAAACTGGGGTATCTATTCATGATCTCCTGTTTCTCCAAGGTTGAGTGGAACCTGTAAGCCCATAATGCTCACGGCCTGGTGCCATATGTAACGAGTTAGCCCAACACCTAGCCCGCAGGGGACATAAAACCAGCTCCCTTCCCTTCTTATTCTAGAGTGGTGGTCTTCATCCTACCACTTTCTGCATTAGAGTCACTTGGGGTCAAAATATTCATGCATGTCCACCCCAGATATTCTGAATAATTTGCTCTGGGGAAAGATCCAGGAATCATTGTTTTTTAATGTACCCCATTGTAGTTTCAACCAGAGAGAACCATCATCTACAAATTAGATTAACTCTTGATGGAAGGATAGATAGTGAAAATAATAGACAAATTATAAGGAGATCGTTGAGCATCAAATTTTGGCAGATTTTGCCAATTAAATCTCTTCCCAGTACCATCCACTGGATCCTACTTTGCTTTAGGAACCACAAGACAGCTGAGTGGGGCTGAGCTCTCAATAGAGACCAGGCCAGTCAGCCTTAAAGGGAATAGGGGAGCCTTCTTACCACAGTTGGCTGGGTCCTCTCTGCCTAAGTCCTGGGTTGAGCCCACCACATCAGCCTCAGTTTGAGTTTTCACCTTGGCAGAGGCTTGTCTCAGCATGGGGGAGGGCCATCGCCCTGTGGAAATCTGATTTGATAGTCAGGACTCCCAAGCAGCTGGTGGGCTTTGGTTCTTGGCTAATATTAGATTGAGTCACTTACCTACCAACCTCTGGGTTGCAGTGTGACTCTGCTCTTCACCATAGCAAGGATGTCATCATGTCTGTGGCTCAACTTGCAGTAAGATACCCCATGCATATTTGTTGTGGAGGATTACCTTTTCATGGGGCCCTGTTTGAACTCAGTGCAATCTGAGCTACAGTGGCAGAAGTCACCCTCCAATTTGTCCTGGGATTTATTTTTGGTGATGGACATGGCATTAGGCGCTACTCTTTTACTCCACAGTTTGCTTGACTCCTACACCTTCCAGTCCAGCTTTGCAGACATCTGCATGAGGCAGCTTATTAATAGCCATCCCAGAAAAGAGGGCAATAAGTGTTTCTGATAGTTTGGGTCCAGATTTTTTAAAAAGTAGATAATAATTTAGATTAGCCACAGTTGATAGCACCTAATGATTTTGTACTTTTTGCTAATAAGTATTTTCTATTCTCTTTTTATTGTGGTAAGATATGCATACTGTAAAATGTACCACTTTAGCTACTTTAAGTGGGCCCCCACTCTCTCACCTCTGGAAACCTGCTCTTCCATAACTGCTGAATCTAATCTGGGCATTGCTGCCCCAGTGCATCTGTATCTCCCTCACACTGGAAGATTTTTCTCAAGCTTTGGAGACTTTTGTTCTTGTTCCTCCCACACACATTCGATTGGGCAGCATGTGAACTGGTTGTTTCCTCAGCGCAGCTCTGAATGGGACAGACCTGCACAGTGTCCCCTCTAGACCTCCTGGCTGCCTTGGCCCCATGGAACATCCCCCAGGCAGGTGTTTGTTTGTGGATGTATGTGGAATGGTTTGATTGGTCCCCAAAGAATCAGACCAGATCACACACTTAAAAGTACCTGGCCTCCTTCTCTGCCTGCTCATTTAGATTTACTCTGCGATTTATACATCTTCACATCAAAATTAAGGTGGAGGCCCATGTTCTAGTGAGCTTTTATGATAACACATTTTGTCACTTTACTCAGTAACGTGTAATGTTTCCCTGTTACGCAGCCTTGAGTTCTGGCTGCCTTTCAAGTTGGCTTTCAAGGTCCTTCTGGCCTTGCCCTTACTTATGTAAATGTTCTCTTACATTTGCTTCTCCTGGAGGTGGGGTTTTCTGCTCTCTGCCCTTCCCTCATGTTAAGAGCACCCCAATAATTGCTCAGGTTCTATGTCCAGTACAGAGGCCTTCTTCCCTTACATTCTCAGTCCACTTTTATTTTTCATCCCTTTGAGATACTAGAATTTTGACTTAGAACTTGATGGATGTCATGCTAAAGAGCAGGAACAACAGAAAAGTCTGCAGCTTAAGAAAAATCTTAGCTTCCTGAGACTTGAATCCCTTACTAACCAGTAAGCTCCCTGGGGGCAAGTTCATGTGACTGGTCTTGTGGTGTTCACACTGTTCCCGGCACATATGAAGCATTTAGTCAGTACTTGTGGAAGTGACTCTTGAGCATGGTTTTTACGGAGAAACCACTCTCTCCTACAAACTTATGGCTGAATTAATTAGGGGTGAATTACTTGGGGATCCAAAGGAAAAGAGCCAACTGGTATATGAACATTACACCTCTGCTCTCCCAGCTGCTGGTGCAATTTTAGGATTCACCCTCACTGCCTAGAGAACCAGATGACCCAGAAAGTCCCAAAAATGTAGTGGCAAAGGCAGCCACCTCAGCTGACATTCTACAGAAACCTCCAGAAGCCAAAATCAATAATCAGATGGGTGGCTTGGTGGTCCTTCAAACTTCTCAGTTTCTTCCCAGAATATTGCCTTTAGAGAAAGATAAAAAATCATGTCTGAAAAGTGCTTCCCTGTAAAACAGATCTAAGAGAGGTTGAAAAAAGTAAAAGCAATGGAATGGCTGGAACTCATTTAGGAAAGAGTTAAAGAAGGGGGGTGTCATGGGTCAGAAAAGAACAAGATAGAGCAGGATGTAGTGTGGAGGCTGCAGGCTGTTGTTTATGGAGTCAGGCTTGGCTTCCTTGCCCATCTGTTCTCTTTCCACGGTGGAGGAGAGGAAGTGGGGGTTGCCATCGCCCTAAAACCTCTTACCATTCAACAGACTAATTGTTTCAAGATGGTTCCCCTACATTTGGATGTGCATTTAATTAAAGTTATGTGTTTGTCTTACGAACAACCAGACTAAATAAAATCACTGCTGGGACTGTAGTATTTGAAGAAATACCACCCAGGCACATGTGAATAGACTTACATATATATACATATATATACATATATATATATATATATATATATATATATATATATATATATACACACATGTATAGTCTGCATACATAGCCCACATTTCAGAAATCTGATCTTTTTGCCTTTGAAAGCCAAAAGAACTTGTGCAAGTATTTTTGGATGACTCCATGGCACTTAAATATAAATATAAAATGAAATGGAGGAGATAGATGTTGAATTCTGCAAATCGGTATAGTGAGGAACCTCCCTGGCTGGTGGCTTGTTGTCCTTTGTCTCTTCCTGTTTTCTCAGAATAGGGATATATATGGAATTTTATACCAGCAGTTCAGTCTTGGAAATCAAGTTATACCATCTGGTCCAGCTCTACTCACATACACCTGCCAAGTTACTGCATCTAAAACTGCTACAAACTTTATGTATAATTGCAGCCTCCTCTCTGCAAAATCACTTTCCTGACAAAATCACCTGCATCTTTCCTAAAATCTATTGATGTTTGATAGAGGGATAAACTTAAGGAAATAATTACTGTAGAGAATATGTACTCTGCTTTTGGACATCTAGATTTTTGAATGTGATATATAACCTGTGTTCATACCTTGCAAATGTGCCCAAATGTTTGTTTCATTGACCTACCAGTTAGGCAGTGCTCCTTACATGCCCAGTGTTCCAAGCTCTATTGTAAGCACATACATGAAAAAGAGGAAATCATCTCCTTGCCTACAAGACCCATAGCATCTAACCAAGAAATCAAGACCAATGGAAGTACTGGGGCATAATTAAGT